ATGAAATTATTTGCTACAATTATACATATTTTGTTCAAGAAGCGGGAAAAAATGACCACTTCTGGTGGTTAGTGTCAGTGACCACCGCCCACAGAACATATCCTTACAAATCAGTCTCTATAGTAATCACGGACACAGTTTATTTTTCATGTACTGCATTCCCACACTGTTCTTACAAGCTTTTTCTTGGTGCTTCAGAGTGCACATCGTCGTGATGTTGTCTTCGATGTCTGATGCTTATTTTCTTGAAGACGAATTGCTGCATAACTACTGGCTTATGTTTCTTGATTGCCGTCAAGTGAGCTACAAGGGAACTTCTGAAGCGGTCAGTCTTGAAAACCACTCACCCGAGTAAGTAAGATGTTCAAGGGGGTTACTGTAGGTAACCACCGCCCTTCAAAGATCTTGCTGTAAACTACGTCACAAAACAATCTGCTAATCTGCATATTAGTAATTTACATAAAAAACACCGTTGCCGACGGAGAGCAGCAAGTGTATATCTTAGTAAGGGAAGACGCCATTTGCGATCGTCTGTGATGGGAGATTTTACGTATGCCGAGAAAGCAGACATGCGCTACATATACGGCCGTGCAAACGCTAATGCCAGAGCTGAGCTACGAATAATATCGCGCAGTTTCCGGATAGACGAATACCGGATCACAGAATGTTTCGGCAGTTACAGCGTAAAATTTGAAAAACAGGTTCTTTCCACGTCACCAAACGGGATGCTGGTGGACGACGAACTATACGTAATCCAAATTTGAAGAAAGCATCTTGAACATTGTAGCTGATAGACCCGAGTCAAGTACAAGAGCTGTTGCACAAAACGTAGGTATGAGTCAACATATCATTTGGAGAGTCTTAAACGAAAATCTCTTGCACCCTTTCCATTTTCAGCAAGTGCAAGCTTTGAATCCGCAAGACCTAACTTCTGCGCCTAAACTTCTGCCAGAGGCTTATGCAGAAATCTGCAGCAGGACTTCACAGCTCATGTGCTGTTTACAGATGAGGCGACATTTACCAGCCAGGGTATATTTAATGCGCACAATTCTCGTGTGTGGACAACTGAGAATCCAAACGCAACGCGACCACATGCGTCTCAACAACGAATAAGTGTGAATGTGGAGGCGAGTAACGGCCACGACTTTTTAATTGGCCGCAGCGACTCCATGCCCAAAGTTATCTTATTTTTCTAGAACAGGTGTTACCAGAACTGTTGCAAGATGTTTCGCTCTCCATTACGAATCGAATGTCGTTCTAGCATATAGAGACGCCAGCATACTTCAGCACAGATGTTCGCAATTACCTGAATGCCACGTCTGGGGCGCGATGTATTGAACATGGTGGACTAGCCCCTTCCTCGCCCCGATCTCCTGTTTTATCGAGCCTCGATTACTTTTCTGGGGACATTTGAAGAGACCTTTTTTAAGCGATTCCATTTAACTTAGCTGAGGATCTCGTTGCATGTGTAGTGATCAAAACATGAAATTAAGTAAATTAATACAGATATTAGTTTAAAAATTTCATTTTATAATTTAATTTAAAAAAAGTATGCACTCCTGACTTTATATGTGGAACACGAAACCACGAAATGTATTGTTACGAATTTTGTACATAGATAATGGTTTTAGTGCAATTATATGTGAAATTGTATTTTTCTGTGTAATGTAACATAAAAAAAATCAAAAGAGACAAGCTATGCCGGAAAAGTAAGAATCTAGGGGCAAGTCCATTTAACATTAAGTAAAGGGGTACTCGGTAATTTGGCGAGATATCGCCTAGCTGACAACAGTTTTTGCGACTTATTTTGGTCCCCAAATTTGGCGAGAAATCGCCAAAAGTCGCCAAACGTGCGACATTTTGGGCCGGTTCCTCTATCACCGTAATAAGTATTGTAATTGAATAAATGTAATTGATCACTGTATTAGCTGCAACCGTAAATACGGCCCTCATATTAGTTTCCAGTAATTTCGAGAAGCAGAAAGTACTAGAAATACCTCGGCGGCAGGTTAATTATATAAGGCTGGAGAGAGCATCTGCTCTCAGTTAGTTGCTGTTGTTTCAGTTAGTTAGTCGCGAGTTGTTAGTTCGGCGTGAAGTGAAATATTTACGGGTTAGCTTTCTCTTTAGGTGCGCTTTACATTGCGTTGTGTTTAACTTTCTTGGGAGTTTGAAGTGTAATATTTTAAATAGATTTTTCGAATTAAAAGATGAAAGTTGAATTTTTTTAAATGATCGTAAACATAAACATGCTCAAAATTCAAGTGAAGAAATGTGGTTACAAGCTATTGGCATATTTGCAGATGTATTTACAACTAATGGATTTAATAAATCTCTTCAAGGCATTAAAGTTAATATTAATGCTTCAATTTTAAAATTCGATATGTGAATTTAAGATATCTGAGTCCCCCCCCCCCGCGCCTGACTTGCTTTGTAATCACGGGAACGAGAGCTGTAGCAAGTGACTTGAAATGCCTAATTTTTCCCCCTTCACTTCATTTCGGTTTAGCATGTTTTGCTTCATGAAAAGCGCACCAGTGAAGTTTGCTTAAACTACAGTTACAAATAGGGTGGAGAAAACAAGTGCTGTGCGGTTATGACGACCCATGTTAAGGGCATATCGCACATTCAAAACATTTCGGAAGAGCAACTGTTAACAGCAATTTTTTTAATGATATAATATAGCCAATCATAGATCACATTAGTGTGACCATGTAAGGGGGTTGATTCTCCCTTATGTTGATGATGAGGAATTCAATACTGATACCTGACATTGAAAGCGAACAACTTGCATTTTTTTTTAGATAGGAAGGAACAAATCGTGCGACATTCATTCAATAGTAAATCAAGTAGACAAATTGTTTGAAATGGTTGTTCCTCCCAAACTAATGGATGAGTGATAGTAGTCTTGCAATCGGAAATGAGATTGTCTCGACACAAACAGCCTTGAAGTCCGTATTTCAAAATAACAGACTCTAGTAAACTTTGGAAAGCTTGTTATAGCGAAATAAAAGGAGTGAGTAAGTAAGAGCAGTTAGTATAATAGTACGGTGTTTTTCTAGGCTAGTTTGTGACATGCAGTTCAGTATGCTAGTATAAGCAAGCGTAAATTGACTTTACTTCGTTAGTTCCAATGATAAAACAATAGATATAATATTGAGGTATATAGTACTTAGCATTTTTTAGAATACATTAATGTTATTAATTTTTCTCTTACTTCAGTTGGAATGTTTTATAACAAAGAATTCTTTTGATATTTCTTGATGTGTTCCAAAGCTGAAAATTAATAATCATAATTTCTTTTCTTTCTTTTTTAAATGACCTTCTAAATTTTCATAGCTAATTTGGCGCCCTTTCTAACTGTTCACCTGAGCCTCACCTTTGTCTCAGCTTTGCCTCCAAGAATGCTTCTCAGAATCTTTCAAGACTGCAAGTACTTTTTTTTTTATCCTTTTCAGTCAATGTCCAGTTTTCAGCTCCATGTTCAAAAAAAAGTCTAATTAAAATGTGTGAATTGTTAGTTTAGTTGTTCTTTTAATTAAGTTTGATTTCATATCTTCTCTAAGCCAAAGAAACGTCTGTTAGCAAGTGTTACTCTGTTACGAATTTCAGGAGAGAATAATGGAAAATTACTGCAATTTAAATTTCACATATGTAATAGCGTATAATTTAACTGTGTCACTTATTGCATTTGAACCATGTACTGTGCATGCAAGACTAATTTCTAAAATTAAAAGTACCGAAGCCGTAAGGTAAATCTTCTGGAGCAGTGAACAAAATAAAATGAAGTAATTAATAATGAGAAATTAAAATTAAATGATGTATACAAAAGTATTAAATTGAATGATAAGAAATAAAATATATGTACTATAAAAGGTAAGTGAAATAATAAAACAAATGAAGATAATATTATAGCGAAACGTGGTACCGAGGATAAAACAAAAATGTATATTATGAATAGTGTTTTCATGATTAGATAAAATCGCACTTTTATGTAGGCTTCTATTTAAAGCTTTCTTATCCTGTTGGTACAGTGTATATACAGTCCGTAAATATTCTGCCTTCTGAAAGAATTGCAATTCGCTTAAAGAGACCTCCACGGGGAATCCCTTCCTTTCTGTGTAGTGCCTAAGGATGGAGCACATAATAAGTAAGTAAATAGAAGGAATCGTAAATGCTTTATTTCATACCCAACTGCTCAAGGTTTTCCGTATATTTAATTTCGGAGACTAGTTTTTATCACATGGTTGTGTAAGTACTAGACTGAAGAACTAATAGAATAATAATTTTAAACCTAATTCTGTTTTGGAATTCTTCACTCAGAGTTTAAGACTATGGCGATAAGTCGTCTGATTATCTTCACAGATCTAGAGTTTAAATATATAGTGTAGTTAGGTCTCGTATAAATTGACTTTCTTGCCATTTTTAATTACGGCTGCTAGATAAAGTTGAACTGCGAGCTGCACTGTGGAGTAAGAAACAATTCTGCTACTGCTGAAATCGAAACTGGTTAGAAATAAATAAAGATTTATTTATTTCAAATCAAACACTTCTCAGCAATCAAATGTGGATAAATATAAAATTATTCAAATTTCCTTCCATATGGTTGCAAAGGGATTAAAAAATTGATTTTTTTCTCTCCGAGAAAGAGTATATTAATCGTGAATATAAATCTGTTATCTATGAAATTTCCTGAACATAATTTCTGTTCACTAAGGTAGCAATCTGGGAGAGGTTTGTTTATCATCCGTTAAGGAAAGTAAATAAGTATGAATTTTTCTGTTCAAATGCTGATTTAAGGTAAGTTTTATAAAATTTGATTGCTGTTATTTTTCAGTTAGCAGGATTATTTGTTAGGCTATGTTGCACGATCTGTTTAATTGCATGCGAATAGCAAAATTACTTATCGATTTCTTGTTTTTAACTGTAAATGTAATTTGCTGTATATATTTGGGAGAACTGGTTAAATAAGTTCATGTTAAAATAAAAGAACAAATAAATTAAAGTTTTATCTTGGCCAATTGCTTTATTTTTATTTTTGAATTACATAAGTTTCAAATGTAGTTTACATAGTTGGTATATTTTAATAACTTTAATAAATGATTAACTAATTATTCAGTGTATTTCTTTGTATTGGGGGAAGGCAGCCCTGTGGAGTAATTCTTAATCTTGGAATCGAACGATGATATTTGAAACCTTCATGTTGTGAGTCAGGAATTCTTCATGGTTTTCAGCTACTATTTTTCGGTCAAACGGGAAGCCCATTGCTCTCTTGTCTGGGTATTTCTCATCCATAACACCACAGTAGCTCAGAGCATCGTTGCAAAGTTTCTTGCCATGTCCACTGCCTTCCACCTGTATGAAGAAAAACTCAAGTAACATTCAGGTAAAGTAACATTCAGGTAAAATTCACTAATTTTTGCATTATGTCATCTTGATGACAAATGGCTGATATTGTGTATAATGCAAAATTTGAAGTTACGAGGAATGTCTTTCACAATGTTGCCAGTGATTCTTTATGCTGAGACACGAACATTTACCTCCGCTGTTAAGCACATTATCACAGCATTTTACTGCGTAACTTTTATTTAGAACATATTTATTATAAAATTTATAACATAAAGCTTTATTTATAACATTTATGACATATAAGCTTAATATCATTATAATTTTTATAATTTTATTAGATTTGTATCGTGTAATTTATTGATATTAGTACAATAATCAGAGTTAATTGGTTTCTTAGAGTTACTTAAAATTTCGTCGCATTTAGTTATGATACATTTTAATTTTATATTAGTATCTAGGCTGTTTCGTGTTACTTAGATATCCTGTTTCGGTAAACTCGTTTGTTGCTTAAATATTGAATATTGTTTATTGAAGTCCTCAAAACTGATTTGAAGTCATTTGTACCTAGATAGAATGACGAGGGCTAAAAATTGCTTAGATTTTTTCCTAAATTTGCACTTTTAACATTTTCTTTTCCTTTTAAATTCAGAGAATATTTTCTTACCTTATCCAGCTCTCCATCTGTAATCATGACGAAAAGATCGAAAATCATTCCTTTGTCATTGCCCTTAGGAACAAGTAAGTGTTGAGGCCATCCGCAGCTGCAGAACTCAGTTCGGTCTTCCCGTAAATCTTCACCGTGCAGGAGTTCCTTGAAAGTGTATGTGGAGGAAATTGTGACGCTTGAGTCTGTTGAACTTCTTACAATTGTGTTCTTTCCTGGTCGCACTGTAAAAATTTTTGTTTTTGCATATAATTCTGTAAACTGGAGTTATTTTATCAAGAAAAGAACTACAATGAAATCTTTATATGATGACGACCCACGATTCCCGTGGAATTACGTGTGGAGGTAATCGTCTTAAGAGATGTGACTATCGATGATGGCGATTATCGAGTTGCATAATAGATTTATATTTGAAGCTTTTGGATTCTGATAAAAGTACTAATGTAGAAATGCGATATATTGGTCTATGAATACAGGTTTACTAATAAAATTAGAAATTAATTGCAAAGATAACTAAACAGTAATGTAAGGGAGAGCTGAGGGAGAAATATATAAATATGAATATTTAATTTTCTGCAGTACTGCAGATGGATAGATCACGAATTTTGTTTAATAACTTCAAAACTACTCAGTGTTTATTACAAAAATAATGCAATGAAGTCTGCCTACATAATTTTCTCCTTTGATTAATCTCCTTTTCTGAAATAATTTCAATTTCGTAAAGTAAATCAGGCAATTATGCATTCTTGCCTATCTCCTTCGCGATCCTTAGACATTTAGTAATAGCTTTAATAACTTTTACTCGTGTTTCTAGAGCTTTCTGTCTTGTACACATTTTAATCTAAGGCTACTGAAATATCTTAATCAAAGTATAATTATTAAAATATTTTAATTGGATAACAAAACATTTTGTTATCCAATTAAAATTAATTTGTTATCCACCAAAACATTTTGGTGGTCGCCTTGATACACATTTAATAGTCTCGGCCAGATTAGGAGCTGGTCGTTGCAGAAAAAAAAAAGTTGTTTTGGTCAGTAACGACTTCATTTACAGGAATACTGGCCGCTTTTAAAGCTGGTCGCCATACGAGGGTTCACTATATGTTAGTTGCTTGTGCAATGTGTCACTATGAATTAATTGAAAGCCATTAGGTAGAAATACATCATGCATTTTATAGAACATTAAATAATATGTATTTACGTCTTTGAGGACAATTTTTAAATGATTGATCCTACCATGTGATATTACTTTATTAATTCCATTCCAAACTCTGTGCAAGAGCTGACTAGGACATTTATCACATTGTATCTTGATATGATTAGATTATATCTTTATATGATCATACATTGTATCTTTTATATGATTTTTATTCGCTATGGGAACTAATCTACAATAATACCTTTTTTCTAGCAATGTTTCAATTGTCATATTATTTTTTCTTTGAGAGTAATATTCAGGAAATAATAAAAGCTGGATTTAAATATTCAGACCTCTAATTATTGGGTATGAAATCGTGTCTCGCAAGTTAAGGTCTGAATTTGATAATACACTGATTTTCAGGCTTTTTCTTATGTAGATTTAATTTCTTATAAACTTTGAAAATTTAAGTACATATATATGATTAGAGTAACATATCAACTTTTTATTTGACTGCTTCGAGATTATTAATCATTTATATTCATCTAGACTAATAAATATTTTTAAAACCAAACTTTTATTGAATTCTTTTAAATAATAAGTATTCCTTCTAAATACTTACAATCTACGGGGAATTTGTCCATTTCAATGTACAGTCTCCTTTGTTCATCTAATGGGATAATGTTTCCAAGTTCATCATACTTCGGAGCCAAGAAAATACGGACGGTTCCGTGTTTGTCGGTATTGCTGTTGTTCACACATGAAATAATGTAAGAGAAAGATTCGTGATCAAGATGGTGATACCTTGCCTGTAAAAACAGAAGTGTTGCAAATTGTAGCGCATTCATTTCACATACAAATTAATAATCCAGAATCTAGCTAAGCTTAGAACTATACAATAGGAAATACTAAATTCGGTAATTATACTATAAAATAAATGATTAATTTGGGAAATCAGAATATTGTTAAGAGATATATGAAAATAAACATTCATTTTAAAACGTGTATGTGGTAGTCAAGCAAAATACAAATTAACAATGTAGAAAGCATTAATTGACTTCTGAATTATAAATCTATTTAAAATGAATTTTTGTTATTAGACGTTAACGTGAAAAAACGTGTTTATTAAGTAAAATACACACTTATTGCTAAAATCAAATGTTAATTTCTTACATGCACGTTTTCGTATTAGGCTGGGCATAGATTCGGAGTGTATCCATGATTTAAAAAAATATCGAATTTTTTATTCTTTTAAATATGGCATTTGAAACAGGTGATATTTCTTAGCGCTTTTGCAAACATTTAATTGAAACTGTAACAGACTTAACTGCAAACAATGAAGTAACTATACCTGTAGTTTAAAAAAATTAAAATTAAGAAACTTAGGGAAATAAATGTAATAAACCTGTACATGATTTTTCATGCAGAAACACAGGTAGTTTCATTACGGTTAGCCTCATAATTTTAAAAAATATTTCGCACGCATAAAATTCCTCTAAATATTACCATTTCTAACGTACGTAAAAAGTCATTAGAATCATTTCAATATTCACCGAGAATAAGGAAAAATAATTATCAGTTTCAGCACAATTTAATTAAATGGCATTATTTTATGATATATTTTATAATCAATGTTTACTTAAAAAATCTCTCTTAATAAGCAGAGAAATGATGCTTTTATAAAGATGAAAAATTCCTTCTAACTTATATATTGATATGATGCTGATTAAGGACGATGGATAATTTTACAAAGTGAATGATTTCAGCGACATTCATTTCTTAGAGCTAAAGAATTTAAAGAGAATTTAAAGTTAAATTTTTACAGTCAATTCAAGGAATTTTAATAGTAAACTACCAGATATAGACTTGTTATAAAGCAAATAAGTTTGGATAATTTCGCCTTTATTTTTAAGGAGATAACTAGATTTTTCGAGAATAAATACTTTAGAATGAACTGCTAATTTTAATAACTGAGAACTTCTTTCCTTACCCTGACAGATCCTGGGCTTCCAAAGTTCATACAGTGTGACAATTCCAGTTCATCTTCTCTGATGAATGTGTGGATGACATTCGGGATCTTCGCATTAACCTTGATCTCTGTTATTTCCACATTTTGGAAATTTAGCTGTATGAATGAAACACAGAAATTACATAAAATATTTCTATCTTTACTTTTCGAATTTTTTCATGTTTCCTGTGTGGAAAAAGTAATAATTGTTTAATATTTAATTGTTATAATGGTTTTTAACAATACCAAAAACATATCTCAAATGGACAGGCCTTACTGTATTTGCGGCCTTGCGCAAATTTTATTTTATGGCGCCGTCCCCTAAAAACCTAAAATAACGAAATCATGATACAGCGTTTCACAAAAGATGTTTTCATATGTTATCAAAAATCTTGATTATTTGGTCTTTTTACGTCTGTCGCTTTGGACGATCTACTATCTTCACCTCTTAAAGCCGCTGTTGCTCAAATTGGTACATTTAAATATATTATTCAGGAAAAGAGAGAAACACATTGAAATATGAAATTATGCTGTTATACTCGTTAACAGTCAACCGTTTAAAATTTTTTGTTTGAATTTAAGATTTCTGAAAAAGAGCTAATTTCTTCTAATAAATTTATTTTTCATTTCGTCTAATATCGAGACAAAGTATTTGTTTATAAAGTACATTAATATTCATTAATTATTTGCTTTTTATGAAATCCTTGTAAAAAGTGAATGAAGAATGAAATTTTAAATTTTCCTTTATTTTTAGGAATTATTTTAAACGAAGTATTGACAGTAATAGAGTTGTAGTTAATTGCAAAACATTTTAAATCTTTTTGCTAGACAGCAGTGCACTTACTATTTCCTGGCTGTAAACAGGAAGAGTTTTCTTGTATTCTTGGAATACGTTGTCAATAAATCTGTGAAATCGATAGAAAATAGGATCCCTAAGACTTGTTGCAGTATCAGTCATGACGCCTGGTGTTTCCTAATGAGGAAATAAGATTTTTCAATTAAAGAATATTCTTATCAAATAAATTCTAAACATATAATAGGTAAAGGCTGAACACATAAAAGATACGTGACTAAGAAAATGAAATGTTAGTCAGCGAAGATATTAATTTTGAACTTCCAATGACTGGAATGTTTCAAATATCCTGATGCTCTTACTTTGATAAAATTAATAAATTCAAATTTTATTTCATTTAAATCTTAAATAATTAATTTGTTTTGCATCAGGTAAATTATGTAAGGATTATGAATTGGTATCAGTTGTAAGATTGCTTTGACTTTATTATTAACTTAACTATCTGAATTCTGATGAAAAACGTGTTAACCGTTGTATGACGTGCATATAAACTATATTCTCTGGAAAGAATGGTTAAAATATTGAAAAGTTTGCACATTTTCGTTTTTTTTAAGCCACATTCTGTCTCTTTGAAGATAATAAACTCAATTTTTAAATTAAATCTCTTAAAATACGGAGTTAAACTTCTTAAATAACTAAGTTAGGAAGTCAATTAAGTATATTCGAAAGTCGCAATTTTTACCCTGAATCGGCCATCAGGATCATGAATATAAGCCATCATGACGTGTCCCCAGTTATGCAAGTTGCCATAGAATTGTCTGTTCTTGGAATCATAGCTAGATTCGATCAGAGCACCCAGAATGTCAGCACCGTTTTCTTCATCCAAAGGAATGTCATTTCCTTCAGCATCAATAACTTTGCCTAGATGAATAGCTTCCAAGATACGTTCAGTCCACCTCTGCATATCCTGGACATCGACAAGTCGGAGATCGTGCATGGCCAAGCCATTAGGACGAGGGGCATAGTGACGACCACTTGCAATGTGAGTCAAGTGAGCTGCGTATCCTTCAAGAGGTTCTTCGAAGTTATGGAAAGGCACCATACGTGTTAGACCGTTAGACAATCTTTCACAGTCATACCTTAAATTAAAAAGCAATATTTGAAACGATTTTTATAGATGACAGGAAATTATTGTTTGAAAGGCTGTTTGCTAAAAGTTTTTGTGTAACAAACGCAGTTAAAGGAGAATTTAAAGGAAACTGCTTTTTTTATGCATAGGATTTTAATATTTTAATGCTTATTTTGTACGTAATTTTTGATGTGAAGTGGAGCAGGATTTAACGTTATTTTATTAAGAAAAATTGAAAGTACTATAAGAAAAAGAGTGAAAATTGTACTGCCTGCGCGTATTACTTGATAAACCATAATGTGAAAGAATAGAGAGAACAAGCATATGAATAATTGCACGTCAGAATGCATTATTCTTAAACAGCAATTAATTTGTACGAGATGTAAAATAGATATAATAAAAGGTAATTTGTAATGGATAAGTTGCCAATCAAAGAAGAGTATAAAATTCTGATTTTTAATAATGGTATAATTTTGCTTCATTTTCATTATACGTTATCTGAAAATTGAACTCTTTAACATTAAGTTAAGTAAACGTAGCTGACAATGTTATTAACATGGAGATGTATGCTTGCTTTGCGCTTCTGAATTTTGACAGTATTGCTGAAATGATAAAGTTCTACTCACTATATGAGGACTACGAATTTGATTTTTATTAAAAGCTCAGTAATGCTTAATCGATTTTTTTCTAGTGCTGCTAGGTTAAATTTTAATTTAAGATCAAGACGACAGAAAAGATAGTAGGGTATTAATCTCTGTTTGGTAATTTTTTTTATTTGATAAAAATAGGTGCATTTTACAATATTCCAGTCTGTCTACTAGGCAAACAGTTTGCGATTGGTTATATTCGACGGAATTATCTTTACAGCTTAGTATAAGAATATTTTTGCTAAAGTTCTTTTCTTCGTATTATAGGTAATGTATTTTACTTTAGAAGAGAAATATTTATGAGTGTCTTATAAATTTTTGCTTTTAGTTGAACAATTTTAAATCTACAAATCTCAAGTTTATAGCTTTAAAATTAGGAGTTGAATTAGTTTAACCGAAGAAGCGGCTGAAAGAACTTGAAATATATTTACGTGTATCAGAAAAGAGGAATTAACTGTCTTTGAAGAATTACTTTAATTAAGGCCTCACAATGTGTGAAAAATAGAATAAAAAAGTTTTAGGCCTTTTTACAACAACCAAAAAAAAAATTATGTTGATTTGTATTATATAAATGGAAGTATGCGTACGCAGCTATTATAATAATTTAACAATCAGCCTTTTAAGGATAATCTGCTTAAAGCGCGACAGTAATTAGAAACTAAGTGAAAATGCTTATGATGCCATATATGTTTTATGTTACTTATGTTCATTATATTTTACATTAAGATTCATGAACCTTTCATACCTGGCACACATCTGTTGGTGCATGTAATAGAAGAGTTCTCCCTTTCTGTCTTTTGGTTTTCCAAACAAACTGACGTCATATACTGAAGGATAAACCACATGCCAATGCCAATGATGCGCATTGACTCCAATGTCTTCTCTGTAATAGGCAAGTTTGTATTCAGGATCCAAAATGTTACCTGTTTCTTGTACGTCAACAATGACATCGTGCTGAAAGTTTAAAAAGAAAAAAAGTCATAAAATCGAGCTATTTCATAAAAAGTAATTCAGAATAAATTTTAAAGAAACAATGATTTATCACGAAGTAAGAAATGTATTTAATTTTGGTTAAGATAGCGTATATTGCTAAATAAATATCATGCAATACTGGTATAAAATAAGTCACCCATCATGCTTCTCATATGAAGTTTCAACTGACATTCTGCAGACATTGAAATGAATGCAGTATTTTTTTTTTTTTTTTGTGAAGGCGATGCATTTGCATTTAATACCTGTATATGACCTTGGGATACTTGATATTTTAAAACTCAATATCAGATTGAAATAGGTTAAGATGAAAGTTACATTTAATGAAAAATAAAACTGCTATATGTGCCATTAATTAAATTTCAGTTAATGAATTAATATCAATATTATTTTACCTATAATTATAATAATTTCAAGATTTATATTAAATTGTAAGATTAGTATATCTGAATTGATTGGCTGTTAACGATTTTAACTTGTGCTTCTGAATTTAAGGAATAAATATATTTGACAACTTCTGAAAAGTAAATAAGCAGATTATAGAGACATCAAGGTATTTTTTTTTTATTTCCCAGGAGACGGGAAAAATGAGCATTGCCCTCGGCGGTACTCGAACGTGGACCTCTTGAATACGCGCTGAATGTGCTGCCATTACACCACAAAAGGATGCGGAAAGGAAGGAGAAAACATCTTATACACTCCTCCTTTTAACGGGCGTTTATGGAAACCAATCGAGAAATCCTAGTGGTGACAAGTTATCGTTCATCACCCTTTAGTTCGGTTGTCATAGACTTATTAAGCTTTTTTTTTTCTTTTTAAGCAGGAGACATGAAAAATGAGCAATGCCCTCGCCGGGGATCGAGCTGGACCTCTCGAATATGCGCCGAGTGTGTTACCATTACACCACGAAGGCGCGCTGGAAAGAAGGAGACAATACCTTATAAGATTTTATAGCGCAATCATTAAAAGGTAATTCTACGCTATGATAAATAAAAGTTTTCAGATGGATTTGATGTTTGGTTTTACCTTTTATCATAGCATTTGAACAGTTTTCATTTTCAATAGGATATTTTCGTAGTCAAATAATTTCGTCAATTTTCATAGTCAAATAATAGCAACAACATTTAAGCCATCTGCATAAAGAGAGGAATGCGTTTGTGGAGAACATTTTAAGAGACATTGGCTCCGTAATTTGTTTTGCATACCGACCCGTATTTGTATTTGTTGCAGAAAAACTACTAAACCTTCAAGCAGGCAGCCCATTCAACCTCTCAGAATAGACGGGTATATTACGAGTATTTTGATGTAGTAACCACTTTAATTATTGGTCAGCCATGAGTATCAGAAATGTTTGCTATTGATACGCAAAGATAATTAATAATTTTAAATGATACTTAAATAGACATCCTACTTTTTTGTTTTCAATAACAGTTTAAATCAAACTCTTACCTCATCTCCTATTGGCTTGGTGGTCGCGATTGAGAATGCTTTGATTAAAGTATCTGCAGGAATGAACCTATCTGCGAAAATCTCTTGTATTGGTGGAACGATGATTCCTCGGCTGTCGGATCGGTGCAAGATGGCCACTTCAGCAGCGAAAGCAAAGAGAGTCGAGTTCACAAACGTGCGGGCTTGTTCTGCCAAACTAATGAACTCATCAAAGCTTGGAGCCTCTGGAATATTTCAAACAAAATAAATCATGCTTAAGTGAACATTTCAAATTGTAGCTATTGCTTGTTGCATAATTCATGTTGCTCATGCTACTGCATGTGGATAAAAATGTCATAGGAAATCGTATTATATATTTTACACTTTTCAGTTAGTGAAACCATGACATTTAAAGATGGCTTAATAATTTGATATGAACCGTTTACTTATTTATGTATAGTACTTGTCTTATCGTTAAAATAAAAGTCCCCCCCCCATAGGAGATCGCATATCACTTTAAAAATGTTTAAAATAGCTCGATGCAGCTGTTTTACCAAAGTTAGTTTCATAAAACTAACTAAATTAAATTGTGTGAAAATAATGCAATTATTTAACACTGACATCAAGTTTCCCTTGATACTGACATCAAGGTTTCCAACCGATCAGATTGATCCGCAGCCTCGGATCAATCTGATCGGTTGGAATTCAAGTATCAGGTTCTTAATACTCGTTTTGAACGTGCTAACCAGCAGATATTCAGCTTATCCTTCCTCCTTAATAATCTGCTAATCTTACAGATTAATTTCTTTAGTATTTTATTGCTCTGAAAAAACAACTTGATCGCGACAATTCTATATCAAAGATTGAAATAACCTTCAGATTTTTTTGATTGAAATAAATGAAATGATTTTGGTTTTTATGGATATATAGATTATACGTCCTGATAATCAGCAGAAGTGTCAGCTACCCCAGTATCCAAGTAAAAGTAAATTTTATGCTACAGAAGCAGAACTGTTTGACGTACATTTCATACTGCTTCACGACATTGAGGAAAATAATTTTCAGGACTGTTCGTTAAATTTTTAGTTTCTGGCAGTAAAAAGCGTAGATTTTGGTATCTGATCTGTTTTCTCAAAATAAAAAGACTGAGCAAGATAAGAAAATTTAAGTCAAAAGTCTTTTTGATGAAAAAAATTAAAGGCAAACATTTTGTTTGAAATTCCGAATTTGTACTAAATTTAATTTAAAAGAATAATGAAAATATATCTCTTAATGAGTTCGAATTAAAAGCTCGTTCTATTTTGAATTTAACAGTTTTTGGATAAAATAGTTACTGCAAAGAAATTCATATTCCATGATTTATTAGATTTTTAAAATTCTACTCAATTGTAGAACAGAGAAGTATGTAACAAGTATTGGTTGTAGACGGGATATCTAATAATATTTTACTGTTACGTAACTACATACAAATAATCAAACAAATTAAAATTGATTAATAATTTAAAACATGACAGAATTCTTGTTTATATTACATGAAACGCTATTTATATGCAGTATAAATAGATGTTTACTGTATAAATCATTTCTGTTCTTTACTAAACTACTAATTTCAAAATAATATGTTTAATGGAATAGTTTAGGTTTCGCATTCTTAACGTAATAATAACTGGGCAGGTTCGTTGACCAGATGATTAAGAAATTAAATTTGAAGGAGCATTCAAGATCTCTGCGTTGTAATGTTACTTGTTGCTTACTATATGGTGGCGAAAGTCTCGTTTTCAGAATTTGATGCCGGCAATGCTGAGGTAGGTATTAAAAAAAGCCTTAATATCTTAATATCTTAAACAAAATGCATGAGACAATCGTATAGATGGCTAAGATGTATAGCTTGCCTCAAATAAACTAGAATGGAAAGCTAGTCTTGTTAAAAAAAACTAAGTAAGAAAAGTTAATAAACAGTTTAATTTCTGATTGTCTAATGGCTAGTTGCAATGCGAAAGATTTGTTTCGGGTTTATTGCATTTCTTATAATATAGATTTTTTTTATTTCATTTCAGTATAGAAATTAGTTGCATATATTTTTCCTTTAAAGTTAAGTAAAATACTATAATTTGAATAATTTGTGGTGTAATCCTATTGAAATATCTTCAAAATATATTTTTAGTCTTTTCTAGACTCGAAACAAATATTCCTATTTGTCAAAACTGTTAAAAAGGGGCTAATTATGTTAGTTAATTTTACAAAAATGTCATTTCTCAAACGTAACAGTATTAATTAATTAGTCCAGATAGAAGACATTTGCCATGGAACTCCACTTTGCATAACATTAAAATGTTGTGGAAATTTAGCTTATTTACTAGCCTTTTAAGACGGTATGTTTTTCATTTTTCTTAACTATTTTATACAAAAAAGAAAAACTTCCTTTTTAGGATATATATTTCTTTAAAACAAATATTTTTATCTGAATAGCACGTAAGTTTGAAAGCAATGGCACTTACTGTAGAAAACTTCTATAAGTCTCCTAGCTTCCTCCAGATGTTCAGGTAAAAAGCATGAGAAAAACGCATTAATAGGCAGGACTCCCACTGTGCGCAGCCTCGGATCAATCTGATCGGTTGGGATGTTCTCGCCAGTAGCTGCAACGCTGAGACGTTCGAACAGCTTCAGAACGCGAACTTGTTTCTCGTGGAGAAGGGTCATCTTGTCGATCTGATTTCGGTTCTTTGCAGAAGGGCACAACCGGGGTCCAGCACGAATCTCTGCTCCGCTGGGATGATACTCCCCATTTTATACTCAAATAAAGACAAGAACTTCCAGGAAATGTTTGGCTAGAACTATTTGCAAGTTAGTGCCTACGTTCGATGAATCGCGATACTCACTATCTTCGGATGTGCTATTAATAGCAAGGGTTTTTTAACTGCCTTCTCCGTTTGATAGGAAATGAATAACAGAAAACAGATTGTTAACTATGCGCTTAATGTTACGATATGATTTCAGACAGCTCATTTTTTAAAAAAATTATGTCTTCCATGACACAGTTGCATATATTTACAATTAAGTCTTGATTTTACGAAAGCAAAATTTTTTTGAAACGAAGAATGTCAGTGCTATAACTATTTATTGCATCTGTTATTGATTCGCCCTTATTTCAAATAACGGTTAAGATAGAGGATATTCGAATGAAATTTGAAAGATGCGGATGCTTACTCTGGAACGCTACATGAAGTTACATATCCGAAATTCTACGTTTGATTATTGCTACAAACTATTAACTAAAAATATATATGATAGTAAAATTTTCATTGACTGATACCGTGCATGTGCAATAAAAATGTGTAATTTATCTAAAATCATATCATCGATAATAATAGCTATTACAGTATATTTTTAAATGGTAGGAATTTCAGTTTTAGATGGTAGTTTAATGGTTCTATGAAAATTCTGCTGTGACTATGACTGTCATATGTTTAGAAAATACCAAGTGTCTTCTTCTTTGCTATGTTATGCTGAGAGTGCTATGGATATTTAGAACGATTTTCACTATAAATAATACGATACTATTCAAGTTATGCACATTTAAGTAGCAGTTTGTTTGGAATAATACAATGCAGACAAGAGTTTCAATGTTAAATTAGATTCACGTTTCAGCAACAAGGCAACTATTTGCCTGACTGAAATAAATATTTTTATTGCATAGCATGTTACCTATGGCAAATGCCTATTGGTCTTTTTCATGAAATAATCAATCTTGGATGCCTAAAAGTTGAAAGCAATTTAGCTTTTGCAAAAAATGTCCAAATGCAGCATGGCAAGTACATAATATAGTAAAAGTTTTAATAATTAATAATTTTTATAAATGAATCCTACTCAAATATTAATACAATCATTTTATGTGAATTAATATTTACATTAAAAGCAAAATGTCAACGAACTATAAATTATATCAAAATTGCGGTTATTGTCTGCAATGGGGAATAATGAATTCGAATTCGTGGAGAATGTTCTAAAGGAAATTACTGGTGTTACACACACACACACACACACACACGAAAAAAAAAAAAAAATGGAAAACAACCTTGGAGGTAATCAGTTCGGCGTCATCGAGAATCATTACCAGGACAAAAATTATAATTTCGGATCTTCTGGAAGCTTCGAATTATCTCTTGCATGCTAAGTACATTTAAATACATCAAGCTAAACGTGTCATTTCATATTATGTGACCAAACGATATGCTTATATTCAGACATATTTGAGTTTTTCCATACAATTTAATTTTATTGATGACATCAGTGTTACATCTAAAATTTGTTTCCCGTAATAATTATGATAGTTTTGTTGTTTTTAAATTATTATTAAATACCTTTGTTGCAAAAAATAAGAACGGTTTATTTTCAGAGAAGCAACTTGATTTGGGAAAAAATAATGTGTTTGTATAAATGCTTTTCCGATGACGCATTTTAAATATTACAACAATTTTTTTATTAGTTATAAGCTTTGTTATTACATTAGGTTATTTTAAGCAGGGAATATGGAAAATGTGCAGTGCCCTCGCCGAGACTCGAACCTGGACCTCTCGAAATGCAAACTGAGTGTGCTACCACGAAGCCATGCAGAAAGGAGGGAGAAAATACCTTATATACTCCCCCTTTTAAAGGGGCGATTTGGGATTAGGAGACCCAGCCACCAAATCCTGGTGGTGAAGAATCATCATCCACCACCTTTTTAGTTCGGGCGTCACTGTGGAGTCATCAGGTTTATTTGAAGCAGAAGACATGAAAAATGAGCAATGCCCTTCCCGGGACTCGAACCTGGACCTCTCGAATACGCGCCGAGTATGCTAACCGTTACACCACGAAGGCATGCAGAAATGAGGGAGAAAATACCTTATATACTCCCTCTTTTAAAGGACGAGTGGGGATTAGGGGACTCAGTCGCCAAATCCTGGTGATGAAGAATCATCATCACCACCTTTTTAGGTCGGGAACCACTGTAGAGACATTAGGTCAATTTTGAAGCTGAAAACTTGAAAAATGTGCAGTGTCCTCGCCGGGATTCAAACTTGGACCTCTCGAATACGTGCCGAGTGCTACGGTTATACCACAAAGGCATGCAGAAAGGAGAGAGTAAATATCTTATAGCTTTCATTAAAATATCTTTTGTTTGTAATTTTTGCTCCTTGATTTCGTGCTACAAAGTCAGATGTTTCACAAATATTACATTACAAATGCCATTAAGTTACTGTAAATTATAAGTAATAAGAATGTTGAATTATATATATAGAATTATATATAAAATTAGAAATTTGTTCTCCATACCTGGAAATTGGGTTTTCTCTAAAACCCGAAAAGGGTGAAGTCTCGAAATACGATTTTACGTTGTTTCCCTTTATCGCGTTGTTTCATTTTTCGAGTTGTTGCTATTTGGAAAAACATAAGATGTTATTTTTTCATATTTAATTTGTTTGCTATTAAATGACAAACTAAAGTATTTAAAAGCAATGGATACAGTGCTTAAGATTTTTTTTTTTTTTTTTTTTTACATTATGAGGTGTTTTTTTCCTCCTTTTTGCATAGCTTCGTGGTGTAATTGGAATTATACTCGACATGCATTCAAGAGTTCCGGCGAGAGTATTGCATATTTTTCACGTCTCCTTTTTCAAAAACCTAATGCCTCTGCAGTATTTTATCTGATTGATTTAAAAAATGAATTTAATTTATGACATATCTAATTAAAAACATTAAATATGTAAGGTTTATCCTGAGCTTTTAACAGTTAATTTTTAGTTAAAGTTTCTTATCTTTCTTAATTTCAGCTTACAATTTCCTGCCAGAACGTGTTTTCAGAATCGCGATTAAATGCAAATGCAAGCAGTATTTAAAGTTGAAGTTCTACCGACTTCGTGAGAAAGCCAGAGATTCTGACCAGCGCGCGTTCCTCTTTTAGGCTACACTAAGCTATTTCTATGCTCGGCCGTATTTTCAGGCCGTTGATAGCTTCGCCGTTTAGTTAGCGTTAAGGGGCCAACTCTTGTAGAATTTTGATAGCTTCGGCTACATCGTTTTAGTTTTAGTATTCTTGAGTTGCAGCCCAAGTGGAGACTGTTCTGTACGTCCTGAGAAAGGGCCATTTGTAAACTTTATTTTGAGCAATAAAGGGTAATTAACTCTTCCTGAGTATTTGTTCTCTGTCTACGGATAAGCGATTATTCGCTTACCAGTTCTCAACGTTCCACACATTTAGCTGTAAATTATAGGTTGGAACATTACTGTTGTAAATATAATAAATCACTTTCCTTAAGAAGTTCAAATGAAGCTTTAATCAACTAAAACTGTACATAAAACAATTGTTACATTATAAGAACAATATTTAAACTAACAAATGACTGTTGCCATTCCATATAATATAATTTTAGTGCTGTCAACAATATTAAATATACCACATTCACCCCTCCCAAAGATTATTAATAAGTTACATAGTCTGCCAGATAAGAAGGCTGACGTCTCTGCCTTTTCGGATGCAAGGATTCACTCTCATGCAAGATATCATTTGAAGTATTTGAAGAAGGACACGGTAAATCACTGTCTTGGGGATCCTCTTCTGTCGATTTTCTTAGTTTTCGATACAGGTTGAGGAGTTTCAGTGGCCAGACCTTCGTTCTGTTGAGCAAAGGAATCTGAAAGTTGCTGGTTTTCATCCAACCCGATATCATGGGCATATATGCGAATATCTTCTCTGGGTTCTAAATATCCTATTGAAACGTTGGTTTCACGACCATCTGGAAGTTTAACGCAAGCGTAAAAATCTGGGTTAGCCTCAATGAGCTCCACTTCCTGCACAATAGGCTCATATTCATTAGCTCGTGTATGGTTCTTCATTAATACTGTTCCGGGTTGTGTTAACCACGTAGGTAAAGAACGTCCATTTTATGATCTTCTAGCATGGATGGAAGCATGGTTCATGTAGTGTGGCATTTGTTTCTGTACATAAGAGTGACCGAATCGAATGCAAAACAGGTCGCAGAACGCCTTCCCAACGTTCGATAGCCATGTTCTTTGATTTTAATGCCGGCTGGATGATTTTCCATATGATTCCATTATACCTCTCTACTTGGCCATTTCCTTGAGGATTATATGCAGTTGTGCGACTTGTTGCTATACCAAGTGAAGTTAAGAAGCATTTTAATTCACGAAAATAAATGAAGATCCTCTATCAGAATGTATGTAGGCTGGCATCCTCAAAATTGAGAAAATATTTTTCAGGTGAGCAATAACAGTAGCAGATAACATATCAGGGCAAGGTATTGCAAACACAAACAAGGTATTGCAAACTGGAGGCAATCTTGAAAACTCGTCCACTATAGTAAGAAGGAAACGGTTTCTGGAAGCCGTAGACAAAGGACCTTTGAAATCTAGATTTAGTCTTTCAAAAGGTGCAGTTGCTTTAATTAAGTGTCCTTCAGATCTATAGAAACGAGGTTTTGCTTCACTGCAGCATATACATGAATCAACAGTTCTTCTAATTTCTTCTAGTGAGAAAGGCAAATTTTTAGAGCTTATCCAGTGATACATTCAAGTTATTCTGGATGACAAGGTTCATCATGTAATGCCTTTAGATCTATTTGCGGTTTTATAGTTGCATTTATTCTTGATAAAGTGTCTGCAATTTCATTTTTATTTCCAGGGCGATATATAATATCAAATTTGAAATGAGCAAGTTCTAACCGCCAACGCATAATTTTCTCATTTTTAATTTTACTGGAGTGCTGTTGATCAAACATAAATGCCACGGATCTTTGATCGGTAAAAACTTCGAAGTGCCTTCCAATTAAATAGTGTCTCCAGTTTCGTAAAGATTCAACAATAGCATATGCTTGTTTTTCAATAGAAGAATGTTTTCGTTCGGAAGAGTTTAATGTTTTAGAGAAAAACGCTATAGTACGACCAGCTTGACTCAGGGTTGCTCCTATTGCAAATTCAGAAGCGTCAGTTTCAACTCTGAATGGTATATTATCCTCAATTGCAGCTAAAGAAGCTTTGGATATATCTCTCTTAGGGAACTGAAGGCTTTCTCGGCATCTTTACTAAGGGGAAAAGGTCCTCTAGTCAAAAGAGGGCTAATCAGAAAAATTGGGAATCCAACGGCAATAATGAGCAAACATTCCCAGTGCTCGCTGTAGAGATCCTACATCTTTAGGAATCGGTAAATCCATTAGCGGTTTCAGTCTATCAGGATCAGGTTTTATTATATTATTAGCTATAGAGTAGCCCAACAGTTTTACGGAATTCGTGGAAAATGCGCATTTTTCATCATTCAGGGTTAGAGCATTCAGGGTTAGGTTATATTTCTTAGCAGCAGCCATAAACCTCTCCAAGGTATTATTATGCTCAGCTTCATTCTTGCCACATATAGTTACATCATCAAGGCAGGGAAAGATTCCTGATAATTCTTCATTTGAAATAATTTCATCTATTGTTCTCTGGAAAGAAGCAACTCCATTTGTTACACCAAATGGAATACGTAGAAATTGATAGAGTATACCATCAGCTTCAAACGCTGATTCTTTGATAGGAACCTGATGATAAGCACTTCTGAGATCAATTGTACTAAATATTTTATATTTTGATACTTGTGAAATCAATTCTTCAATTTTGGGAAGAGGGTAAGCATCAAGCATAGTAAATTTGTTTATAGTCTGCAAATAATCTATTACCATTCTAGTTCTAGGATGCTCTTCTTTCATAACAAACGCTTGTGCACGCCAAGGAGAATTACTTGGTTCAATTACACCTTCTTTAAGTAATTTACATACTTCTGTAGCTATGAATGTTCTATCTTCTTCAGTTTGGCGTCTTGACTTTCTACAATCAGGTCTACAATCAGGCGTTAAATTGGAGAACAATGACACAGGGGCTACAAGAGCAGTTGCTAATGAACAAATTCTAAGAGGTGGTCTGTCACCTTTAAATTTTATCTCAACAGAAGAATGCTCTTTTAATAAATCATGCCCGATAAGAAAGTCTGAACAGAGGTTTTTCATAATTAATACCTGTACATTAGTGTATACATGGGTTTGCAATTTGATATTACAGGCTACCATGGTTATTCTACCAAAATATGGTTTTACTTTAATTCGACATCTTTTTATAAAACACTGATTTATAAAACTTAGTGAACTACCGTTATCAATTAGGGTATTCAGCTGAACTCCATTTACTAGGACTTTAGTTATTGACCTTTCAAGACAGTGAGGAAGCATTGAAGCTGATGCTAGCGTATAAACTGCCGCTATGGAATCAATAATACTGCGTATAAGTTTGGATTTGCATACCTTTTGATAATAGCCCTTTTTACCACATCCTCGACATATAGCATCCTTAGCTGGACAAGTATTTCGTAAATGAAAGTCTCTCCCACAAAAGAAACATTTTCTGGATCGAATAGGAGCAACTACTGCTAATTGTTCACTATCGTCATTTTTGTTCTCACACTGTTCAACAGCAGCTACTGGTGCTGAGGAAGATATTAAATATGAGGCAGAATGATGTTCAGCAAGTTCTAAGGCTCTAGCTTGATCATAAGTTTTTTCTAACGAAATACTGGCATTTTCCAATAACCGTTATCGAATGCGTGGATTCTTCAAACCTCGGATGAATGCATCTCATATAGTCATGTTTATATTCTTCTGCAGTAACAGACTTAAATTCACAATCCTTGCTCAACTGTTTTAATCTTTGTAAATATTTATTTACAGACTCACCCGTTTGTTGAAACCTGGATGCTAAACAGCGCCGGGCAAATATCTCATTTCTTTTAATAATGTACAATGAATCCAGATCATTAATTGCATTATCATAGAATTGTGAATCATTAATATATTGATAAACACTTGCAGATACTAAAGTGCATAACAGCTGTAGTTTTCTTTCTTCAGTTGCCTCCTTCACTTGTGTGAGAAAATTTTAAAAAGTTATTTTCCAGTGCTTCCATTTAGATTCCGCTCCACAACAGGATCAACATCAAATCTGTCTGGTTTCAGAAGATTTTCCATTAAAAAAAAGGATAAATTAGTTTTAGTTGATTAAATTGTTGTAAATATAATAAATCACTTTCCTTAAGAAGCTCAAATGAAACTTAACTAAAACTGCACATAAAACAATCGCTACATTGTAAGAACAATATTTAAACTAACAATGACTGTTGCCATTCCATATAATATAATTTTAGTGCTGCCAACAATATTAAATATACCACAATTACAAATATTTTCATAGAATTACATTACATACTTTTTAAGTATACTGTAGATATATAACGTTCCCATGTTAGTCTAAACGCATATTTATCTAATATCCTATAAAATGTTTCGCTGTTCCATCTGGACTATCTCTATTGATAATCTCTACCGATAAATTATGTTAATTTTAAAAGAGCCCGTTTGGACAGAGAGCCCTTTCAGTTTTTTTTTTTTTTTCATTTAATAAAATCCTAAGAAAAATTTTAGTTTAGTATATTTTATTACAGTGACGCAAACAAAAATGAAAAGAAGAATGCATACAATGTGGTCGACGTTCAGGTTATTGCTGTTTGTCAAAACAATTTCACAAAAGCACAACCAGTTTTCATCATATCTTATTATAATGTGTACACTTGTTTCGTTTTATTAACGTTATCGGTCTGTAATTATTCTTCTTGCTGTTCAGGATGTGGCAGTAGAAATCGAGATCATTGAATGCAGTATACCTTCAGTGGCTGGAATTTCTTAACCTGCGCAGAGCCCGTGAAGATCCTATAAGCGAACTCACTGATCCGATTATTTAAAAATATGGATTAGTCTGCTGACTGTTTAGAAGTATAAGTTTACTTTTTCACTACTTTGAAGTGAATCCGTCATCATTTGTTAAAATTCTATCTCATAAGCTGTTTACTCTCCAAAAAATTTCAAAGCCGAAAATTACATACAAGTCTATAAGAGTATATATTTATATGTGTTGTATATGTTTATGTGTCAGTATATACAGGGTGGTCATAAAAACGTTTCCGATATATGAACCCTTAGCGGCCTATCAGCTCAACAAATCGAAATGAAATTTCAGATATTGTTATCTGAAGGTATGCGCTAGAGATTGTTTTGATTTAAAGCATTAGAGCTCTCACGACTACGGCTACAGTGAAAGCAATCAAAATTTTCGAATGACAACACCCATTTGTTTCCCTGCGAATATTGATTAGCGCATTGAAAGCTAAAAATGACATTGGAACGATACACGTACGAGAAAAACTGCCGCGTAAACCATTTGCAAAGAAGATGATTGTAAAGGACCAGTGACAACACAGAAAGGAGGTGCGCTGACTCACTTTGCATACTTCACAGTGATAGATAATAGAAGCACCAATCACAGAACACCATGTGCAAAGCACTGCTTGTGGAAAACATTTAATAAGCAACTTGGGAAGATTATTTCTTCAATCAGGTGTTCGAACGTACTAACAAAATCACACTTGCATGGAAACAACGACGTGAATTGATGAAGCTGTTTTATTTGTGCGGGGAAAATTCTGCCGTTTCGTATCCTAAGCAGTGCGAGTTTATCGGCGAAATTATAAGCTAAGATTATAAGCAATATAAGGGCCGAACAGCTAACATAGTGGCATTTCACATTCATAAAATCTTTCTGTTCTAGTTAACGATCCTAATTCCAATTCAAATTTGCCTTCGGCCTTTAAAGAAATTATGTTTTAGTTCAGATGGCGCCACTTGCTTATTCTTGTCCAGGCTTTCTTATCTTATCTAATCATTATTTCCTATTATTTTTCTATTTTCCATATTCCAATTCCATTCCAATTCCATATATTTCCATTATTTTCCAATTCCATTTGCGGTTTTGCAGCTGAGGATGGTGGTTCGGTAAAACCATCGAAACTAGTCCTGTGAAAATTTTGTAAATATAACGCTGATTTTTGTTGTTTGACTTCTGAATTAGCTAACATAGTGATCAATTACATTTATTCAATTACAATACCTATTACGGTGATACGAGGACCGGACCAAAATGTCACCAAGTTTGGCAGCGCTTGACGAATTCGCGCCAATTTTGGCGAAAAGATAAGTTGCCAAAGCCTTTGTTAGCTTGGCGATTTCTCGACAAATTACCGAGCTACCCATTTACTCAATGTTAAATGGACTTGCCCCTGTATTCTTATTTTTCCGTCATAGCTCGTCTCTTTAGATTTTTCATGTTAGCAAAATACAGCAATTTAACTAATAACTGCACGAAAATCATCTGTCTATGTAGGAAATTCGTAACAATATAATTAAATTATTTAGTGAACATCGGTTAAATTCAGCTTCGGTAAGATGATCATTTTCATGAGATAAACTTTTTTTACACCATGGATTATGATCGAAAAGTTTTCATTGAATATTTATGCTATATCTGTTTAATATAATATTAAAATGCAAACTCTATTCTCATGTTAAAATCATTATCTTTATCTGATGTTAAAATGCAAACTTTATTCAGAAATTCTAAGCATATTATCTTCGAGCTAACATTTTAATATTCAGGGA